CCTATTGGAAAATAAAAAAAAAAAGAGAAAAAAAGCAACACAGATTATTTATAACTACATGCGATTACAAGGAAAAGGGAAATAGAACATGCAGGGTTGCAACTGCAGTTTGATCAAATGGTGAAGCTCAATTAAAATTTTAAAAAAAATAAGTGCATACAAGGCTACGGGCCTGTGCTTCATTTTAAAACTATATTCACTGAACCGGAGTGTGTATGGACTGGACGAAAAGAAGTGGGATTCTTCAGTACAGCGCCATCAACCCTCCCTGGATGTATTGATGCGTACGAAAGCTGGAGGAAGAACTTATTTCAGACGGGTTCGGATGACGATATTTCACCAGTTACAGTAAGACCGGTTTCCTCTCAAACAACAATATCAATGCGTGAAATGCGGACAATGATCTCAGTGCAAGAGATGCACGAACGTTGTACCGCTTTGATCGTTTGGACTGAGGCGCATAATGCCTACACAGTCTTCAGGTCAGTTTTGCAAACGTTTCCTATAAACTACTAGATCGCACAGTCCTCCGAAAGCTGTCTTCTTCCCACACTGCTTTCTTCTACATCCCAGAATCTGGAAGTTGAATTTTCGCCGGGTCAAATTATCAGCGGTGCACACTGGCAGTTTTTATGCGTTTTTGCGTATAGCGCTAGAGCGCTGCAAAAGACAGCAAAATGAATATTGCGTGACCTTGTCTGTGTGTGCATGTTCTTCTGTCCGGGTATATCTACTTGCCATCCACGCAGGCTCTGATGCTGAAACTTTGCCAACGTATTCCCTGGCCAACCTCAGGAACGTGATGTCAACTGTCACTTCCCTCTGCGTCTCACGTACGGATACACGAAAATTTTGGCGGGAAAATTGCTAAATCGAGAACGAGAAAAGCTGGAAAGTTGAAACTTTAGTGAAGTGTTCTCTACCCATATATGACTAAAAAGCTTCAAACTCAGCTCGTCAGAACTGCTCGGGACTCACGTACGAGCACATGAAAATTTTGGCGGGAAAATTGCTGACTCGGGAACGAGAAGAGCTGGAAGGCTGCAATTTTAAAGGAATGTTTCCTACTCATGTGCGACTAAAAGATATCAAATTCAATTCTTCTAGCGGGCCCTTTTTCGCGCACCAGCGACTTTCCAATTGTTTGGCCACTGAAGTCGACATCTACAACTAACATATCACACAGCTGCACAATTAACTTTCCCAAACTTCGAAGGCCAGTATATCAAAAATTCTAACTGCTGTGATTCCTTGCGACCTTGATACAGTACGAAATAATGCAGAAACGCATGATCGCACCGGCCCACCTGGGTTTGTCGCGTGTTTCTTTTCCTCTTCACCCGAAGTAGAGCTGCTAGCCTGTTTATGTGCAAAATATCGCTGCTGTCACAAACGTTAGGTTTTTGGGTCGGTTTTAATGAAGGGGATTACGCTATAATTATCTTCCATTTAATTTGCAGTGCGCGAAGTAGATCGTCACTAGAATCTCTGCGCTATAAATTGCCCATTATTTCTGAGCCAGTTTCAAATTGCTACTTAAAATTCTGTGAATTTCACTTTTCTGTATAAATTTGCATTTTTTATTAGCGGAAATAAACTCGTGACGAACGAGGCTGTGCTTCAATCGGGGATGTGCAGAATTACATTAATTAGTACGAGACAGAAGTGAAATCTCTCAGCCATAAGGCGTTGCCTGCTTTACAGACAGCTAATGGAATTATGCATTAAGTGTGATAAAACGGCTTAGCCGCTTAGATGAGCTCCAAGAAGAGATGGAAACGAGTCTATCATGGGCGTGTCAGTTGATAGCTGGAGTTGGTTAGACGAGCCTTATTAAAACAGGGGAGCCCATTTTGCTGAGGCAGTTGGCGTCGGTAGTAGTTTTTTTTTGCACGGCTAAAACTGATTTCTAATCTTTTACATGTTTTAGTACCAAGCCATTGTTTTATTTTGTCAAAGAAAGCAGCATAAAGCGCATGGGGGTGAAGTTGAATCGACAGTCGGTGGCTGAAACATCTGCTGAGCAGCGTCCAAACTGGTTGATGGTAGTAATTACACGCCTTGAATTATGCAAAATACTTAAGGCGGAAAATCGGTAAGTGCTGCTTAAGGACACTTGATTACTTTTTATGCATTTTTGCATATTTATGGGAATGCTAAATCGCACGCTGGCAGAGGGTTGTGTGTGTGTTTGTGTGTGTGCGTGCGTGTGTGTGTGCGTGCACGCGCGTGTGTGTGTGTTCGGGTATTTCAACACGCCAACCATACAAGCTTTGAAGCTGAAATTTTGCCACTGTGTTCCCCGGCCAGATGCCACCTCAGGACCACGGTGTCAACCCTCACGCACTTGTGGGCCCCACGTAGGACCACGTGAAAGTTTTGGCAGAAAAATTGCTAACTCCGAAACGAGGAAAGCTAAAAAGCTAAATATTTAGGGTAATGTTCCCTACCCATGCATGACAAAAAGATTTCAGATTCAGCTGCCTAAGACTGCCCAGGACTCACTGTGGGCACGTTGAAATTTTGGCGCGGAAACCTCTAACGTAGGAACGGGAAAAGCTAAGAAGCTGAAATTTACTCCATTCACGTACGACCGAAATCAGCTGTTTAGGAGCGTCCACGACTCACGTATGAGCACGTGGAAATTTTGGCTGGAAAGTCACTAACTCAGGAACGAGAAAGTCCAGAAAGCTGAAACTTTAGAGAACTGTTTCCTATTCATGTACGATCAAAAGATTTCAAATTCAGCTTCCTGGAGCCGCCCGAGACTCACGTAGGGGTGCGTAAAAACTTCTGCGAAAAAGTTGCTAACTCGAAAACGGGAAAACCTAGAAAGTTGGAACTTTAGGGTAATGTTCAGTACGCATGTACGACCAAAAGATTTCAAATTCAGCTCCTTAGAACCGCCTGGAGTAACGTACAGACAAGTAAAAATTTTGGTGGGAAAACTGCTAACTCGAGAACGAAAAAAGCTGGGAGGCTTTAATTTTAAAGGAATGTTCCCTATTCATGTGCGACTAAAAGATTTCAGATTTAACTGTTCTAGTGGGGTCTTTTTCGCGGACCAGCAACTTTCTATTTGTCGGGTCACTGAAATCGATATTTACAGCTGACATGCCACATAACTGCACAATTGACTTCTCGAATTTCAAGGACCAGTATATCACAGGGCTAGCTACTTTGATTCCTTGCGATATTGCGGCAGCAAGAGAAGTGCCAAAACGCATGATCGTACCAGCTCGCCTGCTGCGTTGCAGCCTGGGTTATTATTTTGTTTGCATTTATTCGTGCCCTGGTTGTTTTAGGTATAATTTGAAAGTTGGTGCGAAATTCTACAGAGTGGAGGTGGAACCGCTTCACATCGATTCATCGAGTATCCGACGACACACTGATGAATAGTAGTTGTCTGGGACGGCTGGCTAATAGACTGTCATTGTAGCTCGATGCTTGCTATTGTTAAGCATACAAATGCGGGTGCATTATATCATGTTCGTCTGATGTTCAAAGTATTTCCCCCTGTGCTGTATTTTTTCAGCGATGAAAGTGTCAATGCGTCGGTGTGCACATATGCTCGTTGTTTCTATTTTGCTAT